ATGAACCCTGCCCTGGTAATGAAATATATTACTCAAAACCACAGGAAACACTCAAAAACACAGTCCGATTAACTAAGACCCGTCGTATTGAATATATATATATATTATTTCGAAATTATGGCAATATTTTTGTCCCAGATCATCAATCATTACAATAAAACAAAAATGCCTAAGCCCTGGGAAGGGCCTATGGTAGGGAAAGTTAAAGATAATAGCAAATATTGACTGCCAAGTGAACTCTGAAAAAAAAAAAAAAAAAAAAAAAAAAAAAGTTCTAACCGACTATTTTCCGTGAGTTTGAACTCATTGACACGTTCTTTTGCAAATATTGCTAAATAATGCTATTTTATAACTATTTTTCAGTTCTAATAGTGCTTATTCTTTCCTTATTTACAGTTTGTTCTTGCTGTTTTGAATATTATTTTAATTATGTGACGAGACAGAGCCTCTATCAGAACAGGTGCAACCGGTGCGGTCGCACCGGGCAGCAGACTCACCTAATGAACTTATTCTCCAGAATAAACTATTTGAAAATTGTTGATGATATACTTCTGTTGGTTAATATGGGTTATTTCTTTTTTCCTGTATTTTTTAACTGCTCTCGTATTAACCGCCACGGTTTTGAATTAACCGTGGACATCGTTTTGGGTTTTATAACGATTAATCGGAGCTCGACTATATTTTTGTGTACGTTAGATTAATTTCTGTTAGTCTACAACTAGTTCAGATATATAAATAATTTTATACACTTGTTATTGGTGTATCATGTGCATTAATAATTATATACAACGGTGATGGTTGATGATCGGCGCTAGTGGTTATTTGCGACTCGCATCTAGATTAACAAAATTTATTATTACTGACCACATTTCCAAATTGGTGCGTATTTTCATATTTCTAACTACATTAATTGCGCTGACATTTGCGCTTTGGCAGCTGAGGATGATGGTTCGGTAAAACCATCGAAACTAGTAATACCTCAATAATCTTGAAATAACAGATATTTATTATTTCAGCACTAAATATTTGCTACAAACGTAAACTGTCCATGGTTACAAAATATAATTCAAAAGTACAAAAGTTTATCACAGATACATAACAATAAATTTACTTCAAGGAAGATGGTTCCGGCCATGCTACCCATATATCGTAAGGACGTTCTTCGATATGTAAAAATAGGAAATTATTATATTAGAGTACCTCAAATTACATTCGGGATTGATTTGGGCAGGAGTTTAGCTGATTCCACGATGCCCAAGACCTCCGATCAACAATAAAGACATGCATTATCCTACCTAAAACTGTATGAGAAAAACTGTAAAATATTATAAACAGGGTAAGTCGTACCCCCTAAGAATAGGTATAAATCGTAGGATCAACGAAAAAAATAAAAATTTTGTGTGGTTATCATATCTTGTGCTGTCATTGCTGATATTTATTATAATAAAATTCCATACAATCTACTGTTCTTGGATGAAATTAATAAAATTTATGAACACGAACCTAATATGACTCAGAAAGCCAGTATCCCACGTTTAAAATTAGACAGTCATAATAAAACTTGCTTTTTCTCAAATAATTTATTTATACAATTAATTACAACAATGATCACCAAGATATTTTTCATTTTCTTTTCAACTCCAGTACATAATTCATGTAACCATCCTATCATATCCCTTTGCGGTCTTTTTCACAAATGTTACAGGGAGACGATGTGAAACAATATGGTGTACTAGATGACTAAGACTTAAGAGGTAGTCCGACTTGCGCAACCATATCCTATATTTTTATTTGATATTCCCGCTTTTGCCCTTGTCTGAAGTACTCCTTCCTAATATTTTGAAATCATACTGACTCACTCTAAATTGACATAAATAGGGAGCTGAATGTAATGTGATTTATGATATGTAATGACAGTACAAAAACTGAAGCAGAACAGTATTTATCAAAGGAACATTTATTACAAAACAAACACACATAATTATTGAGTCGTGTCGTAACTGCAAATGAAGTATGAAATTTACAAATATGTACATAGTTTTAAGCTGATAAATACTTATAAAATATCTTGGACATGCTAGAAAATACACTGAGAGTAAAAGTAGCACTTTAAAAGACAATCTAAAGTCTGTTCACATTGCTATTAACCTTACAAAATTGTAGAAAATTCATTTTTGAATAAGGAGAAATATTCGTTTCTAGTCTTAGAGAGTCCTTTTATTCTGTAAAGAAAAAGTAGTCAATCATTACAATCAATTAGATCGTGTGCCCAACATGATGGTATAAATAATAAAAACTAAAATAATAAATTTACAAAATATTTACTAAAGAGCAAACAAACTGGATCAGGTATTATCTACAAAATATTAATTTTTTAATACTGTATTAAAAATAAAGAATAATAACGGCAGTACTTTGCACGAACAAACAATTAATAAAATACAGTAAAACCTTGGTTCACGAATTTAAGTTCCTAAAGATAGGTTGTTATCCAAAATATTAGTAAACCGATTTTCTCCATAGGATTTAATGTAAAATCAATTAATCCGTTTTCCAGATTCCAAATGATTGTTTTTCGAAAAGAGTATTCGCATGTAGTTCGCAAGGCAAAACCGAAGGGATTCACTAAATCTAACGTTCATCAAATCTAGTCTTGGTAAAAATATTTGAGCTGAAGTAGCCAAAGAAGAATAAAAAAGTCGCTATACGTTGCAAGTGACGTCAGAAATTACGTTATTTCTACTTACAGATCACCAAAGCATTAAGCAAAGCAATCAATGAAACACATGGAAAAAATAACAGTTACTCGTGTTAAAAATTGAGCGCCCATGCCTTCATGGACTAAGACTGCGGATTTGCCTTATTATCAATTTTTATTTCATCCTAAATCATTTATTACTTTTTATTGTAAATTAATTCTAATACATATATTAACATATATGAATTTTATGATAAATTTAAAAAGAATTTTTAAGTAGCGCAAGAAAATGATGAAGTAGCAGAAATTCGTAGATTCGTATAAACATAAATCTTAGTATCACAAAGTTTGTCAGAAGTACAAATTTTCGAAAAATCTCACGATATGGCAACACTGCATATACAGTATTAACATGTACACAATATTTAACATAATACTAAGCATACAAAAAATAAGGAAACTTGAGTCAAATTTTATGGTATCTCTACCACGGAAAGCTGACGGCATAAGTAAAACACAGCGAAGAAGCCAAACGGTGCAAAATATCACCTCTCTGAATGGGAAATCCTATAATCCGGTTCCGTAAAAGTATCAGGTAGCTACTGTCTTCCTGTTGGTTTTTTTTTTTTTTTTTCCCTTTTTTTCTCTTAACATCGCTGTGAACCTTTGCATTTTACCCCATTTTATACAAATTTCGCTGATCAAATAACTAGGATCAAGTTCTTCCACATTCTTCCGTGTCCGGAAGACACTGCAGACACTTCTAAAGACTTCTTTCCTCCACTGCGTTAACTCCATTTTTGAGTATTATTTGTTGCCAGTTTTTTTGTTCGTATTTCGAGGCATTGTTCGTCATCCAAGATATTTTTCATAAAAAAAAAAAACTTGTTCGTGATCCAAGGCTTTGTGAAGGCTTTGTGAATGAATGAAATGAAGTTGTTTTATTCAAAGGCAGTTCGTTCTACTTTTACTATATAATACAAATATAACACAATGTACTTATCTTTCCTCTTTAAAGTTCGAAAAATCTTCGATGTCCTTATGTCATTCATGTATGTCATCTCTATGTCATTTTGCTTTAACCACAGCAAGACAGCTGCAAAAACTGATTTTTAGAAACTATCCACGTAGCAGAAATGCTTTAATTATCATCATAAGAGAATGCCACATTGTTCATGTGTTCAATGACTAGAAAGAAGTCCTGTGGCGTCAAAATTTTCGAGTGGCGAGCTTGGTGTTTCTTTTACTGTTTTAATTGAGTAGATCTGTTAACATTGGTACCACAATTATGGATGATGACAGACCGATGTAAGATTACGCAATGCCACTTTGTTCATGTGCTCAAAGACTAGAAAAAAGTCCTGTGGCGTCAAAATTTTCGAGTGGCGAGCTTGGTGTTTCTTTTACTGCTTTAACTGGATAGATCTGTTAACATTGGTACCACAATTATGGATGATGACAGACCGATGTAAGATTACGCAATGCCACATTGTTCATGTGCTCAATGACTAGAAAAAAGTCCTGTGGCGTCAAAATTTTCGAGTGGCGAGCTTGGTGTTTCTTTTACTGCTTTAACTGGATAGATCTGTTAACATTGGTACCACAATTATGGATGATGACAGACCGATGTAAGATTACGCAATGCCACATTGTTCATGTGCTCAATGACTAGAAAAAAGTCCTGTGGCGTCAAAATTTTCGAGTGGCGAGCTTGGTGTTTCTTTTACTGTTTTAATTGAGTAGATCTGTTAACATTGGTACCACAATTATGGATGATGACAGACCGATGTAAGATTACGCAATGCCACTTTGTTCATGTGCTCAATGACTAGAAAAAAGTCCTGTGGCGTCAAAATTTTCGAGTGGCGAGCTTGGTGTTTCTTTTACTGTTTTAATTGAACAGATTTGTTAACATTGGTACCACAATTATGGATGATGACAGACCGATATAGCAGTCCTGAAATTATTCTGAAGAGATTTGCAAAAACTGAGTCTCAATGAATGGAACAAAGTTATCTCATTCTAAGAAATGTGCACTGAGTGGGACAGAACATCATCATATTAGAAATGTTAGAACATCAATTTAATTTAATAAACAATAAATTATTTTTTGATTTTTTTCCTCCTTCATAATTTATACTTAATTATGTCTCATATCTAACAGAATATCAGTTTTCCTTAATTACTGTAATTGTACAAGATTGTCGGTTCTACTTCTGTATTTATATTATAAAAATTAGAAATTAATTTATGTTCGTGTACATAAAGCCAGAAACATTTGTCAAACAGATTAAAAAATTACCTCATTGTTTAGGCCTAGCTACAGGTAAATCCCAAGGTACGTCATACGCATCATCTTGCGTAACCGTCGGACCAGCAGCCGCTGTTGCGGGCTGAGGAGGATAAAATCCAGGCTTGTGAGGTAAAGTATAGTATGCTTCAGCATACAAAGAGACTCGGGCTGTAAAGGTTAAATATATTATTATACAATATTATTTCAGAAAGAGAAAAAAAAAATGGAGCATACATTGCTTGTAAAGTAAAACGATATTATTTTGAACATCCCAAAAAAAGAAACCAAAGGAATACAGAAGACAAGAATCATATGCAAGTTTCCCATAAAATATGCAAGAATATTTTTAATAAAAGAAATTAGGATATAGTTTTTTAATTTAATAAATACAACCTGTTTATCACTTTACATTGATATTTTCAGTATTACAAAAAATGATGTAGTATTAAAATAATATTGAACAAAAAAATAATATTACCTACAGTCCGAAATTGTTTGCTCTAGTTTTTCACATATTTATCGAGCACAGAAAACTTCATTATAATTTAATTTATATTGCCTGTAGCCGAGAATTTTGGGATTTCAAACTAAATTTCTTCAGAAAACTAGCTTTCTGTGCACTAACTTTATTTACTTCAAGGATATCTTCAGTCTATTTCAAAACAAGTCAAACTCTATTTTTTTAAATTACACACGAAAAAAGTAAATAGATAAAATAAAAATAACAACTTTAGAGTGGCGTACATTTCGAATGAAATCTTTAATGATTATAAGGGTGATCTGACGCAAGTCACTCTTTTTCAGGAGCAAAACAATTTTAATGAGCGCCCTAGATACTTTTACCTTAAAATACATTCTAATTCGCACAGAAAAATTAATAAAAGGGAAAAAATAATTTTTCACTGAGATTTAATAATTATTATAAGTAAATTCCTCGAAATACATCGAATGTGATATCATTCAACATACTTTTTTTTTTTCTTCTTATAATTATTACTTCGATAGTCCTTACTCACAACATGCATAATTTGAATAATAAATTATTCATAGAATGTAACTGATAAATGTGAAAATTAAAAAAATATTTTTTAAATAAATACATTTTTAAACTTTAAATAAATTCTGACCACACTTTTAAAATATCCCTTACTCTAAAATAGAAAAAATTATGGATCATTTTAATTTTAATTCAAAATTCTTTCTAAGTAAATTTTTCAAGCCCTGTTACATACAATTAAGAATTTTATTACTTATTTTTTTTTTACTATATGTGTTTATTTCTGTGTATTTTACTATATGTATACTGTATGATATTTTAAGTGAATATTTACGTAGTTTCAACAATAGGTTACACTCACAAATTTTTTTCCATTAAAAATATTTCTCAATATTTGAACTATTTTGTTTTTTAAGTCAGATCATATAAATTTAATACCTGCTTCTCTTTCGTCTCGAAATTGAGCTTTCTTGACCCAGACCCAAGCTACTACAATTACTATGACAATTATGACGATAGATGCCGCCACAGGTACTATGAAGTGAAGTTTCAGATAATACGGAGTGTCTCCACCAGAACTGACGATAGATGGCGCTAGTGCCTTACCTACAGTAAAGAAAGGAAATTCGCAAGGTCAGGTCAATGTACATGATCTTTGTCTGGTATTTATGAACAGTTAAGAAGGGCTATACTATTTGGCTAAAAATCGCCCTTTTGGTTAAAAATATGGATAATTATTCAAAATTTTATTGAAATCAAATAATAGATAATTATCTACGTAAATGTTACATGATTAATGCTATTTATCTTCTAATTTAAATAGGACATTATATCAGCGAAAAGTACAGGTTGCACAATTTTAAAATTCAAATTCTTTTATGTTAAATAGCAAAAGCATGAAAAATTAAAAATTAATCTTAGAACAACCAATAAATTTTTTATATTAAACATGCCAGATGGAAAGTTGGTTAGAGAGAAGGGGGAAAAAATACAATTATCTGAAATAAATTTCATCTTCAGATATTGAATAATAACAGATGAAATAACTCTTTCATTATTATTAAAAAAAAGCAAATACAAAAATAGCATCAATATTTTACAGAATATTGTGTAGCATAGTTTAAAAATTTTAAGTATCAACATCTCATAACATGTCAGTTCAACAATAGCTACAATAACAAATCTTCAATAGCAATTATAATGCTATTTAAAATGTAAGATTTCATAAAATTAGGAAAATAAAGTTGAAAATATTAAATGAAAATAAATAATGAAGAACGCGGAGGGGAGGACTTTCCGTTCCTCTTCTGATGGGAAGAGTTCTGAAAATTCAGAGCAATTCGAACAAAGCAATAAATGAAGCATAAGAACCGTATTTTTAAAATCACTACTCTGATAGAACTTAAATTCATTTTTCGTTACCACTTTTTATGTCAAGTTTTCATTCAGAATATTTTTTAGCACAAAAGATGTTATTAGTCCTCGATTCTCAAATTTTTTGCCCACATCAATTTTCAAATAAAAGGAAGTTGCCACCAAATGTTCTGATCGTGTTTTATTTTCGAAAACATAATATAGAGAATATAAAAAAAATATGTGCGAAAACCTCTCTATCGGGAATACTAAAGCTATGCTATTTTTAAATATGTTTTGATTCTGCTGTTGAACTTTATGTGACATATCAGCGAATATCAGCGAAAAAAAGTGATATTGAATAAATAAAGTTAAGATAAAAGGTTGTGTAAGTCATCTTACTAAGAAAACTTAGCATTAATATGACAAACTAAGAAGAGACTGAAAAAAAAAAATTAATGGTAACATTTAACACTGTAGCAGGAATTCTAAACATATTCTGCTTTTAAAATTTTTGTGGTTTTTCGGTTGAATTTTATGTGGCTAAGTGCAAAGAAAGCAATGTTTAATAATAATAATAAAGTTATATAAACAAGAATGAGTCCAACTGAAAAGCATAAAAAACCTTAACATAGCTTCTGGTGCGACATTAATCCGAATTTTTTTCAGAATTTTTTTTAATAAACAAACATGGAATGTTTTATAAAAATTAAATTTTATCGGAGCCAGCAGTGCATCTCTAACTATTTGCATGTAACTATTATGTCTTCATTTACGTCTACAGTAAAACCTCTGCTTGCGTGTTTAATACATTAAAACCTCTGCCTTTCATATAAAGATACTAATATACTTTCATATAAAGGTACTAATGTTATAAAGATACTTTAGGGACGGTGGCGTCTCGAATGCGGTCAAGAGGGGGGGGGACCTTGACGTTAACTGCCATGGAGGTAGGAAGTAAGAAGGAGTCGCCCTAAACAAGTTTCTCCGTACCCTGCTCTGAAGCACCGGCGATCCCTACGTGGTGACCAAAACATTGGGTCATTTACCATTGAGTTCTATGGGATTTGACGCGTTCGGGTGTAAATATTTTGTAATTGCGTAGCAAATATACATATAAATGTATATATTTTCTTTTTCTACAACACTTCAGAGTCCTAAGTATGTGAAAACAACATATTTTTAAACAACATTTTATTCTGAACGGAATTAAATGCTATACTTTTCTCAGAATGGTTTAATTTGAATGAATATTTTTCACAAGTTTTCGTTAATTACATTAGAAAAAAAAATTAAGGTAGTTCGATTTTATTCGGTTAAGGTACAAAAATTAAGATCAAAGTTTATTGTATTATTAATATTAAAATTATGCATTATTTCTTTTCTATTTATAGAGCTTCTTCCTAAAATACTTTCTTAAATATGACATGATTTTTTTGGCTTCTTTTAAATCGAAAAATGTAAGTCAATTTATAATTAATGCTCTATTCGGTTCATTTAAATTAGAGAATTATTAGGAAAATAGTATTTGACTTTCTCTAAACATTCTGAAAGGGAATAAAATAAGTTTTTTTTTTTAAGTATTATTTAAAACTTGTAACTGAGTTTTATAAAATGTAAAGGGAATAATTCTTTTAATTATACTTATCAGATTTTTTCTTTTTACCCTTCATTTCAACAATACATATTCCAAAACTCTTTATTACGTTCTTAAGTGCGCATCTCATAGCATTGCTTTACAATACCTTTTAACAGATTGCTTTCCAATACGAACAATTCTTGCTTAAATAGTTTTTATAACTTATTTGTCAACAGGTTCAATTTATTTTACAATCTCATAGCATTTGCTTTACAATACCTTTAACAGATTGCTTTCCAATATGAACAATTCTTGCTTAATAGTTTTATAACTTATTTGTCAACAGGATTCAATTTATGTTTACAATTCAATATTAAGGTTATTATATATTTAGATAACATTTATAATCATTATAAATTAGATACATTTAATCATTAGATTTCTTCACAGTACTATCACAGTGTTTATAAGTGAATAAAATTCTTCATTTCAATACATTTATAAATAATTTAATGAATATTTAAGTATTTTGTCAAAGGCAGATACATGCTTTTTGCAAGCACATGCATAAATACCCATACATATTTCCTATTTATCATTTCCGGCATGTGCAAATCTTTAATTTCTGTGCATTCACTATATTTTTTTCGTGTAAAGTAATTTACACTAATTTAGCATACACCCGAAAGTTTTACATAAAAAATATATATGAAATAATTTGAATGAAAATTATAAGTATTATTTTTAATACCCACTCAAAGGTCAGTTTTTCTTCAAAATTCCCCCACGATGGCATCTCTCTCTTTAGGCAGATAGCCCTTGCATGCGTTACTCTATTTAATAAAAACTTAATCTGACCTATGTGCCTAATTACAAATGTTTTAACATACATAATTTTATATTTACATTTAGCCATCAAGTTTCAAACTTTTCAAATCTTCTAGAAAATCAATTTTGGCAGATCTCTTTTAGCAATTTTCTTAAAATCTATATTTTTGTAGTGCAACAGCTTAGAATTTTATAAAACAAATTCATAATCAAAATCGCTGTTGTTAGTTATCGAAAAATAACCAAGATGTGATTTTTGCGTAAATGTCACTAAACTATACAAATTGCTATTATCCATCCCACTATGAATGTTTCTTTCATGCGAAAGTGTCCCTTTTTCGATTTTTATGGAACTGTCGTGTGTCGAAATACTATCAGAATTTTGTCAAGCGAGCTTCTGAATGTAAACAAAAAACAACCCCGTCTGGTGACCCAAACTTCAAAGCAGTGCTTCACTTCTAGCGCGGAATGGCCCCTCCTCCCTTTCCTACCTCCATGTTAACTGCGAAGGGGAAAATAAGCAGGTGCGTTAGGGATCATAAGGGGAGATATATTGTAAAAAGAAAAGTGTTTTTAGGTCTCATTCAGTATTCTACAGAATTCTCTATTCTTCACTGTAAGTCAGTAATGTATACAAGGATGTACATGGTACTACTAGAATGGAAACAAATTATATAGGATACGAAAAGTTTTGAAGTTAAAATTCCATTTAATTTATTTACTATATGGATTTATTACTAATTATAATGGATTGGAATATTTGAATATGAATTAACTGAATATTTAAGAAAAACATTATGAGTGCGAGAATATAAAAAAACTTTTTTGAATATTAGCTTTTTGATAGAATGCAAATGAAATCATTTTTACTCGATGAAAAGCAAAATTTAGTAGCTAATTAATCTGTCCTCTATCGAGCACCTTAGTTCAGTGATCCCTATTAATGTGCATTTTTTTTTTTTTTTAATTTGAATGCTTCAAGAATAATTAGAAAAGGACTTAATTCTCTTCTTACCCTTAAATTCTTCACTAAAAAAATTGCATTTTCAGCTACAATCAGGTGAAATAATTCTCTAAATATAATTCAAAGCATAAAAAATAAGGTACGTAAACGGCTTGGAAATGGAACTAACATTGAAATTCTCTTTTAAGAAATATGGTGAAGCTTGACAAGAAGTCTACGAAGCAAAGCAATTCCGTAGAATATTTTCTAACTCTTTATGATTAAATTGCCCTCAATTATATTTTATAAACGACATGTAAATATGATTTAATGTATATGTGTGGATGTGTGTGTGGCTCACTAGCGGCTGAGCGGGAAAGTCGTTGAACCCTGGTAGGTCGATTCGGGGTCGAATCCCGGGAAACGGGATGGGCTGTATTGGCGTTTTCGTGGTTTTTCCCATGTGTAACATGCATATGAGTCAGATTTGCTTAGAAAGTTCTCCACGAAGCATCCTTACCCTTAAGCAAATAGCAGTCGAATGCTTTGCTATAATCAAACAAACCAGACCAAACAATAGATATATAAATATGTAGCTTAACAAACTGCTATATTTTATGTATACTTTATAAATAATATATAAATATATATGATTATTAAAAGAAAGGAAAAGTCGGATCTTAATTGATTGTATATAATTTAATCCCTATGAAGCCACTCACTTAAAGTCGTAACTCAAAATTTCTCACTTAAAATCGTAACTCAAAAGGAGAACAAATGAAATTAAACTTCAGATACGTATACAATACTGCATACAATGCAAAAAATACAAAATATAAAAATAAATTATATATGTACGAAATCTAACTAACCATTTATATTGATATTACGTAAATATAAGTA